AAAAAAAAAAAAGACTCTAACAAACGATTAACATTAAGAAAAATTTAATAATAATAATAATGATAATAATAACGATAATTGATTTTTAATGAATCAATTAAATTGGGTAAAAGCTTTATGAGAAATTTTTTTTTATTTTATTAAAATAATTATTTAAATTTCTTTTTTTAATAATTTAAATAATTATTTTATTTTATTTTAATTCGAGTACTTAAGAAAAAAAAAAAACATTTTTATCGATTTATCCCGGTTTGTTTTTTCTCTTTCCACTCCCTCCCCTTCCCCTTTCCCTCCCCCTTTTTCCCCCTTTATTGTCGCTTTAATCGATTTATTTTTGCGCTCTCCTAATATCTTTTTCTTTTTTTTTCGCAAATAATTTCAGGATTATAATTAATTAATTAATGTTTTTTTTTTTTAATAAGAAACAAATTTATTTTGGTAAATATATATATATATTATGTTTTTTATTTTTAAAAAAATAAATAATAATATCGAAATGTAAAATAATCCTCTTGAAATGTAACTTCTAGTTTTTTTTTTTTTTTAATAATTATATAAAATTTATATAAAAATATATATATATATATATATAGGTAACGTTTATAACAAAAACTGGGATTTGCATTTAGAGGAAGATATTATTTTTATTTTTATTAATTTTTTTTTTGGAATAAATACTTTTTAGATTTTCATTTTTTAATTGTAAATATATATATTCGTACTGACGCTTTAAAATAATAATAAAAAAAAATTAATAAAATAATTTAAAAAAAAAAAAAATTAAATTCCCCCATTTTTTTTTCCTATTAATCGTCCTAAATAAAAAAAATTGACTAAATTTTTTTTTGTTGTGTAAAAAATCTTTCCTTTCCATCGTTAACATCACCGTTGAATGTTGATTTAAAAATATGGCAACTTGTACTACAACCGTGTTGTTTGTTGTTTGTTCTTTTTACAAAACACCGCTTCGTAAAAAATCATTTCTTTTTTGTTATTTTTTTTCGTACGCGTACGTATCGTTATTGCACTTTAATTTTACTACAAAATACTGTTGAAAATATTTTTTTTTCCTTTTCTTTTCTTTCGTTACATTCTGAATATGCCAAATTTAGTTTCTTGCGTCGTTTTATTCAAAGCTGCTTTTAATGCCAAACCCAAAACCTTTCTCGTATCTTTCGGGTCAATGACTCCGTCATCCCAAATTCTAGCACTCGAAAAATATGGATCTCCTTCTTTTTCAAATTTTTCAATTATCGGTTTTTTGACTTTGTTTGCGTCCTCTTCGGTCCACTGAAAATTTTTACGATTAAAAATTTATTAAAACGATTTTGTAAGCAAAAAAATTTGATGGAGAAATAAAAGTTTTTTTACATACTTCTTTTCCAGCTTTTTTTCTTTGAGCTTCGGCCAAAGTGCTTAAAACACCCGCAGCTTGTTCTCCGCCCATAACCGAAATCCTCGCATTTGGCCACATGAATAAAAATCTTGGAGAATAAGCTCTTCCGCACATTCCGTAGTTACCAGCTCCATAACTACCACCCACTAAAACAGTTATCTGAAATTTTCAATTAATCGTTTTGAAAAAATTTATTTATTTTTAATTATTTCGGTGAAACACAAACATAAAAAATAATTTTACTTTAGGAACGTGAGTACAGGAAACTGCCGTAACCATTTTAGCACCATTTTTTGCTATTCCTTGTCTTTCGGCTTCTTTTCCAACCATAAAACCCGTGATGTTTTGAAGGAAAATTAAAGGAATGTTTCTTTGTGAGCAAAGTTCAATGAAATGAGCTCCCTAAAAAACAAAAAAAAAAAAACCAATTACTACACGAGGGAAGGGGGGGAGGGGCGGAATTTTCAAAATATTTTACCTTAAGAGCACTTTCAGGAAATAAAACTCCATTATTTCCAATGATTCCCACTTTGTACCCGAATAATGTAGCAAACCCTGTAACTAATGTTTCACCGTACTTTTCTTTAAATTCATGAAATTTTGATCCGTCAACGATTCTAGCTATCACTTCTCTAATATCATAAGTTTTTCTTAAATTAGCTCCGACGATACCGTATATATCGGAAATATCATATAATGGAGGTTCAAAATCTAATTGTTCCGTTTTTTTCGGTTCCGGTAATGTTCCGATAATACTTCTGGCTATTGATAATGCATGAGCATCATCAATCGCGTAATGATCACTAACTCCAGATATTCTGAAACACATTAATTTATCATCAATAATATTTAGAATGATTGAAAGTGACCAAATTTAAGTCCTCTGAATAATTTTTTTTTTTTAGAAAGGTATTTCTACAAAAAAATAAATACAAAAAAAAACACAATTAAAAAATTATACTACAAAACTAAAATACAATATAGTCTATAAGCAGTGGAGCATCAAACAAAATTTAATAAGAAAGAAAGAATTTTTTTCAATTAATTATTTACTTATACAAATTTAAAAAAAAAAAAAAAAAGCAATTATTAAACATTACAACACTATAGCTAGTAAAAACCTTACTTATTTCATATTTAATTAACTTGATTATTTTTTTCAGCAAAAAAAATAGCTCTTGAACAAGGGTTGTAATTGAAGTTCATCAGCTGCTGGAGAAAAAATTGCCAAGAAACTTTATCAAATCCATTTGGGTTGGAAAAAATAATGATGATAATGAAAATCATGATTTGACTCACCTACAATGTACATCAGCTCCTCCTAATTCTTCTGCTGTGACTTGTTCACCTGTGGCAGCTTTTACCAAAGGAGGACCGGCTAAAAATATAGTACCCTGTTTTTGAACAATTATACTCTCATCTGACATTGCTGGCACATAAGCTCCCCCTGCAGTACAACTTCCCATCACAACTGAAACCTTTTATATCCAGTTGATAAAATTGTAAGTAAAATAAAAACATAATATGTTTCAAATTGTTTTTTTTTTTTTAAAAAAGATTTAGAAAGTAAGTAAAATTATTCTTTTAATTTTAGGTAGACGAGCAGAGCAAGAAATTTTTGAAAACTCACTTGAGCAATACCTTTGGCTGACATGTTAGCTTGATTGTAAAAACATCTTCCAAAGTGAAATTTATCAGGAAACACATCAGCTTGATGTGGTAAATTTGCACCACCTGAATCAACAAGGTAAATGCAAGGTAAGTTATTTTCTTCAGCAATTTCTTGCCCTCTGATATGTTTTTTAACAGTCATAGGATAATAAGTTCCTCCTTTAACAGTTGCATCATTTGCAATAATCATACATTCCCTCCTAAAATTACATAATTTTTTTATTTATAAAGTTGAAATAATTTTATTAGGTCTTTTTTTTTTTTTTTTTTATAAACCTACCCTTGAACTTTACCAATTCCAGTAATGATACCTGCTGCTGGAATAAAGTCATCATACATATTGTAAGCTGCTAATTGACTTAGTTCTAAAAATGAAGTTCCAGGATCTAAAAGAAGATTGACTCTTTCCCTGGGTAAAATTTTACCCCTAGAAAGATGATTTTGAATAGCTTTTTCATTTCCACCTTTTACAATTTTTTCAACTGTTTCCTTCAATTTGTCAACAACTTGAAGCATTTGGGTTTCATTTTCCTAAAAAAAAAAATTAAAATAACTTTTCAATATGGGTGATTATTGAAACTTAATTATTAGTTTTACAATACCACTCAAAAGTCTAAGTTTAAAAGCCAAAAAAAATAAGTTCAACAATACAACTAATAATAATAACTAAAATTGATGTCATGCAAAAAAAAATTTACAAAAATAAAAATAAGTGCAATGTAAGAAACAATTTTACTACAACTTCACACATCTGATAGTTTTTTTAAATAATAATACCTTTTAATAATCACATCACACTCAGACATGAATAAGAACTTTATTGGGAATGATAACACAATTTCCTAAAGTAAAAGTAAGATAATTAGAAAATTGTAACTTTAATTCTAATTTGCATAACCTTTTAAATTAAATTATTTTTTATACTTATTGATAATAACCTTAAACTCAGGGTCTGACCGATTAGGTTCACTACCAATAACTGTTCCAAAATATTTATAAACTTGTCTTGAAACGATGCCTACGCATCCCGGTTTAAGTCTGTTGCTCAGCATGTTTCAAAAGTGTAATTGACTAATTAATTTTAAATAGTAAAAATTCATTAAAAATTTCTTAATGAATTCATAATGCGCGTACCGCCTTCTCGATTAACCGAATGAATAGAAATGTAACTTTTTTTTACTCTATGATACCGCCTTACGATAGAGATAAAACTCATGCTTTCGAATTTATAACCATTCAGGGTTTAAAATTTTTAAAGCAATTTAATACTTTTTACATTATTTATCAATTACTTTGAAACATGGTGGAAGAACAAAAAGTGCGTATTGATCAGTCCATGTCTAAAATAATAGACGATGTTG